TCTGTTCTACTGCGACGTTTTATCATATTCGCAATATATACTTGTATAATATACACGGCATACAGTTTATTATAGAAAACATCACTATAATATACTTTCTTAGAAATATCGATATCTGCAATCTGTTTTAATAGAACAATAATAAATAGAAAAAATGTTAACTGATTAAACAACAACAAAGGTATTATCCGTTTTTTGCAGTTTTCAAAAACGTATAATACAATAATTTGTTTACAACATCCACAATCTAAACCAATAATTGTGTATAATAATTTATTATCAATAATATTTGATTATTATACAACATATACGTAAACAGTGTTTAGTAACATACACACACACACACACACACACACACGTTTGGTGAATTTTATTTTCAAAAATTTTAAGTTAGAGTAACGCAGTGATAATATGATTGTACCTATATACGCGCACGAGTAAGGAGTTTGGATAATTGTCTAATTAAAAGGTTATTGTAACATCAAAATTTTAGTAACAAGCATTTTAAAGTTGTAGTAAATTATAAATACAAACCAAGTGATTGTGAAATACGACAACGAATCATTATAATATAAAAAAAATAATTTAATTATTATACATGTACATAGACGAGCGCAGACTTTAATTTCCGGTTGAGCCTGGAACAATAATTAATGCTCTAATACTCGGACAGTGCCATTAATTTATTTTTATTTTTTTTAACACATTAATGTACATTATAATTGTAAATTAAAAACTGTGTAAATAGAATCAAGTTGTGCGTGCACACAACATAAATGTGTTAATTTATAGACATGTATTTTTAAAGTTAAAACATAAAAAAATAATATTAATACAATAATAACGCACAATAAGAAAAAAACACAATATCCACAATTTAAAAGAAAAAAAAAATGGTTCAATGAACAAAAAATAGTATATACATAGTACATAGTATACATAGTATTATATTATATAAACATAATCACATATTCATTTTAATTAAAGAATTATTAACGAATTCTCCTTTTTACCATACTTTTGAATTCGTCTGTGACCATGTCAATATTAATACTACTCGTAGATGTTAGTTTTGGTTCAGTAAACATTGATAATAAACTATTAATTCGGTCTCGATGTATATGGTACTCCTCGATTTATATTTTAGTACTTGTTGTTAATTTAGAAAATACCCGTTCACAGCAACAACTTGTAATTGGTATTACACTGAATAATTTCAGTACAGTGAAAAATCCATTAAATGATTCTATGTCATTTTTTGCTTTCATATAATCAATCCGAAAACGTTTTGATTCATTATTGGTATTAGAATCCGGTTGAAATTTTATCGAGCCCCTAAAAAATTCTTGTCGAGTCGGAGCTCTGCCGGCACGCCTATGGGACACGTACAAACCTATCACACAGGATATAATTACGTAGTCGAAAACAGTGGCACAATTATCGGAAATGTTGGGTGCGCAATTCACTTGGGCCCCGGTTTCGGGAGACCCCTAGATCTCATTTATGATATTCCTACAATAATCTGCTATACCATAGATGATTAAAATATACATTATACTTAATCTATGGTAATATACACGTATTAAATTATTTATTTTAATGTAATAAATAATATCGTCTTATTACTCTTTTGAGTTTAGAGAATTCGTATTAAGAGTACCTATGTGAGAAACCAGCTGTGTACCGTATAGCCTTTTACAGTTTAGGTACTAAAATTACCGAAACGATGCGATTGATGACTTTTCTACCGTAAAAACACGAAAGAGTTCATTTTTATGTTTGATTTTATGAAAGAATAAAAATATAACTAATAATTATTAACTACACGTCGTGTAGGAAAACAATATTTTTTAGAGTTATGATAAAGTATGACTGTTTCTCGTTTTTATTAGCAGGTGAGGCCCCCCCCCCAGTCCGGAAATGTTCACACGGATCCATTATTACCAAGTTGCACCACTGGTCGAAAATAATAATATAATATGTGTTACCTGAGTGGTTATTATTGGTTACAGTTTAAGCTTATGAAAACACCAACGTTTCTTTAACGTGCCTACCTATCCCCGTCTCGGTCGTTTAATTTTAATGACAATACATATTATGATCTATTTTTGGATGTTTTCAATATCGCGGTTTATAAATGTTGTTATTTATAATCGTTACAATTTGACTTGAGTATAGTTTATCAACGTCGACTGCTGTGGTCATCGAAATCATAACTACGTATCACTATCGCGTTTCCTTCGTAGAGCATATTGGTATTGTGTCATAGTTTTTTTCTTCAGACACGCCAAACACCAACACGCATGTCCCATCCGCGTACTATGAACCTATATAATATTATATAATATTATTGTCTAAGATATTGTGCCCCGCGGCGTGCGAGCCAAACGACACTCGACCGATTTTCTTTCTAGCGACGTCACAGTGTTACGGGCTAATAATTTATTTTACGGATATCCGTAGCCGCATCTGTATATATATGACCAATGCGGCATCACTGTTTTACGGTGGTTTTTTTTTGGGATGTAATAGGGATGGGCGCTACTCGTCGGGTAGCTGGCCGATCTCAAAACGGGAGGTCGTAATAATAATTATAACAAAACACAGAAACGCAGTACAAACACTGTCGAGTGCGTGTAGGTGTGTGTGGGTGTATGCGTGGGTGTACGAGTGGGTGTATGTGTGTATATGAAGTGTATTTTATACATGTATTTAGCGCGCCTAGATAATTGAATTCTAAAAATCCTGAGGGCGTCGCAAAGGCGGCGGCGACGGCCGAAACGGACGGCGGGTGGCAATGATAGAGTTTTCTGTTCCGCGACCCCCCTATCCTTTGACCACCCACACGACCCACCGCCCGGCGACGGTTTTCCACTTGCGACGCGTCGCGTCTCCCGCTGGCTGGCTCACCACGCGTATACATATAACCTTTCGTCACCGCCGTCGCCGTCGTCGCGGAGAGCTCTCGCCGCGTCGTTCTAATTACACGACCGACTAGACGACGGCATACGGTTTTCGCGACTGTCGCCAGGCGCCGAAAACACTGTCGACCGATACTCCCATTCGTCATCGGTATACTCATATAATACTGTTTATATATAAATATATAAAATTAGTGTGAGCTATTGCTGTGCAGTTTAAATTTTAACGATATAATATGATATTATTGATAAAATTAACATAATAGTATGTATTCGATTTCACCTAGACGCAAAGTTTTTTTTATCGAAACTCTACGGTCCGTTTAGGAAAATATTTTATTTTTCAACTACATTTGAAGACAATATAAATCATTTTTTTTCATTATTATTATTTATTAAGCGTGTCTTCTTATAGTGCTTAACCTAAAATCACTACTAATAAAAGTTGAACTGGTTTTTAAACTAAATTTCGTAATTTAGAATATGATAAAGGCAGCATATTTTGTTTTAACCTTTTTTTCATCTAGTTGAAACAATAATTATAAATCTAAAAAAAAAAAATGCTACTAAAATAATAATTTTTTTTTAATTAGCTTTAAAATATATTCCTTTAATATTCGATTTTTATAAATTAACCTATTCATCTGTTAAAATAGTAGGTATTAAAAAAAAAAAAAAATTATAAACTTAAAATAAAAATAGTTTTTTGAACTTTGACTCTGTGAATTTTCGTCATATTGCTCTGTTTTATACACAATTCTATACTATATTAATAACTATCACGATCGTACAAAAATATTGTTACTGCGTCATTATTATCATAGCTGTCTGTTGGAAATAATTTTGAACGAAAATATCAATTATTATACCTTTTGTTGTTAATTTTGTACCGACGAGAAAACTGTATTTTAATTAAAAATTCATAAGTCATTATTTTCACGTTTAATTACGCGGCTTGACGTGTATACTCAAAACTGTATAAATGGTTGTTGCATATTCAATCTTTCATTTCGTGTATTATTATTTATTTACTAATTTTAAAAGTACATATTATACTTCACATCTTTGGTGATTACCTAACAAAATGTTTACCATGTCACTATAACTATCTTTTGAAGGTTATTAATGATATTTTACAATTGCATATTTTATTATTATTATTATCATCACATTTATAATCAATTCAATTTATAATATTTTATCAAATTCTACTAGATAATATTATTTTGGTTCTTGGTTATATAAATTTATTTTTGAAAAAAAGGCCTTGATTTTTATAAGTAGTAAGTTGAACTTATTTTTTAATTGTTTCTTCTATTGGCAAATGGTATTTTGTGGTATATTTAAAAAATTTATATTTTATCGATGAAAAATACATGGAAACCTACTTAAGATATATTAAAAAGGGTAATTTTTTTTTAAATAAAAAAATATATTCCACGCGAATAAAAAATAATACTTGTTTTCATAAAACAAATTTATCCAAAATTAAAACGAATGAACGTTGGCTAAAAAAAAATTTCACAATTATTTAGAACGCATACACGGCAATAATGATGGCGTTTCGTAAAATGTTTTAAGTTTTGATCAATAGACACACAACTTAAATATAACTTAGTTATAAACTAAACCGTTAACTTTTTAGCATATATTATAATAGATATCGCGTAAAAATAAAAATAATTTAAAAGTAACAGTTTTTTTTTTTTCAATAGAAATCATAGTAATTAACTTTATTTAATAAATCTTAGTGTTTTCCATAGCGGAACAAAAAAAGATGGACGAAAATCTACAAGTGACATGACATGACTATATGAATAATAAAAATAATATTGATAGAGTTGTTAAAGTTATGCTACATATTATTATGTCGTTTTTGGAAAAATTAAAATGTATCACTCGCAGTTCTTGAATTTTACGTTTCCCTCGTCCTTCCATATCTATCATAATATTACCACGATATTTCCGAACCCCTTCGCCCTTTTTCCCCTGCCCACACCCACAGACCGTTCAACCTCTTCAACGGGTTCGATTCTTCTAATCGCATACGTTTTTTTTTTTTTATTATTATTATTTCAGGGTACCGTCATGCGCCCTTGACCGTGGCGGACGGAAAGAACTCGGCTACGTCGCAGACAGCTGTTGAACAGCAACAGCAACAGCTCCTGCAAGCCGGACCGGCGTCGTCACTGGCGGCGGCGGGCGGGTCTGCGTCTGCGAACACACAACAACACCACCCCTCGCCGCCCGTGGTGCGCGTCACACTGGCGTCCGTCGAGGAGTGCAACGTGCTGCTGCATAACGGTTTGGACTTTTACGGGGCCACTTTCTTCCCGGTCGAGGCCGCCTCCCCCGTTATACCGAAAAAGAAATCGTTGCCGCCAAACAGGTACAGCGATACCCACGACGTTAAAAACTTATACACATACTTAACTTTTATCGCAAATAATTTATAATATTCTAATGTAGAGTTATAGTGCTGAGATACGGTAGTAGTAATCATAAGACCAAAGTGTTGCGGGGCAACACGCGATGCCACTCCACTGTGATTATATGAATTCTAAATGATTAAAACCGATTTTCCACTACTCCTTAATCGTTTGAGATTCAATTTTTATTTAACTAAAACAGATATTCTTTTTGGGGTATGAAATTAAAAGTGTATGTTTTCGTTCAAAAAAGTAAGAATTCTTAAACGATAACGATAAAAAGAGTGTACTTGAGGTATATTTCATTGAAATATTATTTAAAAAAAAAAAAAAAATGTTAACTTTTAAAAATAATGAATGGGGCCTTAAATGGATCACCTTTTACTTTTGTAAGTAGATATTACATACTAGTATATCGTATTTATTATAACGATATTTCAATGGAACAACGAACAACGATACAGTATAAGGTATACGCAGTATATACGGTACACAGGTTTCTCACATAGGTACTTATAATACGAATTTTCTAAACTTTAAAGAGTAAAGATATTATTATTTGTTAGTGTTGGCCAACGATAATCGATATCGTGGGTATTTTCTTAGTAATTTCCATATCGATATCTAAATATAATTATCGAAAATATTGCGATATCGAGGTTATTAATCTGGGTTTGGGATTTCATGGACGATTAAACACTAAACTGAATAAATAGTATAAAATAAAATAATTATATATAAAAAAGTAGGTATAAAGTAAATACTAAAATATGATACGAGACGATATGTTACAAAGAAATAGCTCACCACACCAAACAATTTAATTTAAATTCAGTGCCAGTTGTTAATTCTCATTTCGTTATCTATTTTATGTTTATTATTTATATTAAACAAAATGAATAAAAACTTTAAATAAGTTATATTTTCTGATGCTAGAAGTGATATATGGCAACATTTTGGTTTTAAAGTTAATGAAAAGAGGATTATATTAAATAAAGATCAAGTTTTCTGTAAAAAGTGCAAATGTATTATTGTTTTAAATATACTAATAATATAATATGTGTTCTATATCTTTAATACGCTTTCAATAAATTAAATTATATAAAATTTAACTCGTTGTTATGTATTGTTATTAAAATCGATATCGATAATTAAAAATATATCATCGGCCAACACTATTATCTATAATATTAAAATAAATAATATAATATGTGTATATTACCATAGATTAAGTATAATGTATATTTTAATCATCTATGGTATAGCAGATTATTGTAGGAATATCATAAATGAGATCTAGGGGTCTCCCGAAACCGGGGCCTAAGTGAATTGCGCACCCAACATTTCCGATAATTGTGCCACTGTTTTCGACTACGTAATTATATCCTGTGTGATAGGTTTGTACGTGTCCCATAGGCGTGCCGGCAGAGCTCCGACTCGACAAGAATTTTTTAGGGGCTCGATAAAATTTCAACCGGATTCTAATACTAATAATGAATCAAAACGTTTGCGGATTGATTATATGAAAGCAAAAAATGACATAGAATCATTTAATGGATTTTTCACTGTACTGAAATTATTCAGTGTAATACCAATTACAAGTTGTTGCTGTGAACGGGTATTTTCTAAATTAACAACAAGTACTAAAATATAAATCGAGGAGTACCATATACATCGAGACCGAATTAATAGTTTATTATCAATGTTTACTGAACCAAAACTAACATCTACGAGTAGTATTAATATTGACATGGCCACAGACGAATTCAAAAGTATGGCAATTTTAATTATAATTCTTTAATTAAAATTATGACATAACTAAATTTATAATATAATATAGTATTTGTATATACAATTTTTTTTTTAGTTTTTTTACATTTTGGGTATTGTGTTTTCTTCTTTTTATGAATAATTATATTTATATCATTTTATTTTTAACTTCAAATATACATGTCTAGAAATAAATACATTAATGTTGTGTACACACATACAGCTTGATTCTATTTACACAGTTTTTATTTGCAATTATAATTTACATCAATGTGTTAAAAAAAAAATAAAAAAAAGCACTGTCCCAGTATTAGGGCATTAATTATTCCGGAAATTAAAGTCTGCGCACGCCTCATGGACTAATGTTATTACAGTTGTAACTATCTATGATTATTGATTATGCCTGTGTATCGTGTACATTAGAAATATATCTATAATAAGAAATTTACATTAATAATATGTTATTTGATGTTTTAAAAATTCTTCTTGAACAATTGTGATAACTATGCTAATTTAGAGATAATTTCAATGATAACAACGGTAATCCAAATATTAATAAATGGTCCAATCGTTTTAGCACTCTGTTTTTATCGAAAGCTACAATTTAAAGACGTTAATAGTTACAATATGTTATCGTGGCAAATATTTTTTCAATTCAAAAACTTTATATCGCTCATAAATTTTTTTTTATACATTACATATTGAACAATATTTCCGATGTAAATATATATAATATATATTGACACTGAAAATAAATTGTCACCGAATGATATTGCTGAAATAGGACAACATCACTCCAACACGTTTAAAATAAAATAAAAATTAAAAACAAAGTCAAATAGTAATTGGCATGTACGTAATAGTTTTCAATTTTTGGTACATAATGCGAATAACAATATAATATTGTTTTTGAAATGACCGGAGGCACAGGCGGCTTATTGGATTTTATTTCACGGCCGCGGGCTGCAAGCATCGTATACGTACGTAATATGGATCATACATAACCGTCAGCTATCGCAGGTCCATTGAGACCCACACGTTAACGATGATCACAATATTTTCAATTTATTATTATTGTGCGTCTATATTAGATATTTGTATTATAAGGTCTTCTAGTATTTTTAAAAAGTCTAAAAAATCAAACACATAAAAAATATATATAGTTATTGTAGTACTTACTGTCACTTTCAGTATACAATTTTATTGCTTTACTGAAAATATAAATATAAATATGAATATCTAATACAGTTTAATATTATATTTATCTTTAAGCATTTATGTCGTTTTTATTTGCATTTCAGAATTTGCCTCAGATTAATTAAAACAAGATCAAATTGTTTTTATTAAAAAATATTTAACGAAAGTTAAAAAAGTATTAGTTTATTTTCTACTCTTGACTTAATACCAATTACATATACATTTGCAATTCAACATTTGATGAATAGAAAAAACATTCTTTTCAAAACTGAGTTTACCAAGTTACAACAAAAAATTCAAGTGCCTAACTTTTCATAATAATTTGTTCGTTTACAAATATATTCCAAAATGACAGAATTTGTATTGCCTTATAATTCAAATGAAAAAAAAAAAAGATAAATAACATACAATTTAATAACACAAATATATTTAAAATTTAAATCAATAGTCTTAGCATTCAGAATTAATGAATCTTTTAAAGGTCAAAATAATCATTGAAATACATATATGTATATTATTTCTTCGTATAAAATCGTAAACGACAAACTTTATACCTATAATTAAATAAATTCTAAAAAATAATTTGATTGAATAATATAAATTAAATTTATTTTTTATCGTGTATTATAATAGTTATCCAGCAGGAAATTACGCGTTTGTGTTAATATAAAATTCAGTGTAGGTACTAGTTTTTATCTTTGTCGTTGTCGTTTTTTTATTTTTATTTTTTTGTTGCCAGTTTTCAAAGAAAAATAATACTAAACAACCGTACCATATTACATAGCGCTTCACCGTACGGTATTATTATTATATTACAGCCGTGTGTGTTTGTTTGAATAGCGACACACACACACACACACACATACACACACACACATACACATACATACATCATATATACATACATACATACATACATACGAACACACACATATTAGTCTCGTCACGACTTTAGTAATCTGATTTATACGCCTGCTACTTTAACCGTGAAATTCGCAAGGAAAGCAGACATTGTCCTATAAGCATAACATATAGGTACAGGGTTATTCATCAAGCATGCTCAACCCATTTTACTTCTTCAATAAGGCAGTTATTTAAAATCCGATTTTTAAAATTTTTAAAAATACATTAAGAATTAAGATCATTGTAAAGAATTTTCAATATTTTTTTTTTACTACTCAAGAAGTACCTATTCCATGGAAATACTCAAGTAGAAAATTTTATTTTTCAAATTTTAACCCCATTTTTATTCAATAAATTATTTAGTGTATAGTTTTCTAAATATGTCAACTTATCAAAATTAAAACATTTGTACAAATAGTATTTTAAGTTATTTCACTTTACATACTAAGGGTAATTACTAATTTATGATAGATCCATAACAATGGGTTTAAAATATATGGGTAATATAGAAATTTAAGAATTGTATTAATTAATTTATTAAAATATCAACATTTATTATTGTTTTAAATGTTTCAGTTATTATAATAAATCTTAAATCCATTAGATCCAATATTGCATTGTTTTAATATTTTTGTAAAATTATTTTTAAGGACTGCTGTATTTAATATAAATATATAAAAACTGAAAACTATTTGTGTGAACTGTGAATACAATACTAGGTACATCAACATTTTTAAAAATAAAATGTCTATAAAATAATTTACAGTATAACTGAAGGGTACTCATTTGAAAAAAACATAAGTTTGTATTATAACAGGAAGCTTGTTAAGTAGTCAAGAAATCACAATAATTTAAAAACACGATCTTTAAGTATATTGAAAATCAATAAAGAAAATTATAATTTAAATTCATTAAAATATTTTTAAAAAGAACTAGACCAGGGGTCGGCAACCCGCGGCCCGCAAAGCAATTTTTAATGGCCCGCACAAAGGTGGTTAATTTTTGTGTTTTACTTTTGTTCAATAACATTTTTCATATAATTTTCAATATTATATAATTCTTTTTCCTTTATAAATAAAATCTAATCTAACCGTTTCATAATAGCAATACAATTATAAGTATTATATCATAATATGTAATTTTTTTTTTTTAATGTGGCCCTTGATGAACAATTGAAAAAAAAAATGGCCCGCGTGGTTAAAAAGGTTGCCGACCCCTGAACTAGACGAACATGCTTGGTAACGATATAAGTGTGTAGTTTATGCGTTTAATTGTTTAGACAACTTTTGTGCAAATTACATAAAAACGAATACGGACATAACGGTTCGAATAAAAAATCCATAGATATTTCGTATTAATATTGTGTGTTCGTGAATATACCTACTTATTATTTATATATTATATGTTAGTCGTGAAACCAACCTTTCTAATTGTAATACATTAAACAAAAAATTACCATTATTACGTCGCACTGTATCATATATGTATAATGTATAATTGAAAACGGTATGCCTATCATATTATAATAATAACAGTAGTTGTATTTATATGTATATATTTTAAATTATGTATATTACACATAGGTACGTGTTTTATTGAAATTACTTTTCGAGAAATATCACAAAGTATTATTATGTCAACCGTACGAACGTTTTCTTAAAAATATAATATTTTACCATTACTGCAGAATCCCATCTCTTGTAAACTCTTAAAATAAATCTGCAAAATTAAACTCTAAAGAATTAGTTTTTGTTCACAAATTATATATACATACATTTTTCTTATTTTTCACGTGGTTTAAATGTTTAAATTCAAATCCAGAGAGTTTATTTTCTTCTCAATTAATGTTTTTTTTCGGGTAATAAACTTCCAGTTTTCACACGCCCTAGTATCGGTTTTAAAGTGTAATTTATACATTATATTATTACAATTATATTAAAATACAAACAAACCACTGTTTGCAAAACGTTACTTTGCATTATTGTTTATTATTTAATAAGAGATAATTAACAATCTGTAAAATAATAAATCAAATTATAATTGTATTAAATGAATACTTAATATATATGCAATGAACCAATTACCCATTGGCCATTAGTAACACTTCTTAATTAAATTAAAAATTATCTGTACCACTAGCGTTTTGGTATGCGTGTTGGATTTCTTTAAACAGAATGATAAAGATAAGAGAAATAAGTGGATTTAAGTGTTTGTTAAATTTAATTTAAAACGTTTATCAATTGTTTTAAGCTAGAAAATTCAGTAGTTTTTTTAATATTTGAGTACAATTTAGTTACCTAAAGGCTAAAATGCATAGTAAAAAAGAAATATGTTAACTAACTATTAACAGTCTGTACGACACTTAAAAGATTATATCTGATTCAATAAAATTGTTTATTAAATAAGTGAAATAAATAATTTTGAATTTTCCTTGCAGTCACACCACGCAATATATTAACATGTATTATTATTTTTTTTAAATCCCCAATAATTAGTCAGTTTTTCATTCAACAAACAATAATCACAACTCATTCAGAAAGCCCCATAAATCATAATTTGTAATGCGTACCTACAAGAGTTACGTTAGTATGTAATTATTTTATTACTTAATTGCACAAGTATCCAACACAAATACATACATCGATGTTGTTAAATCTACATGTCTGACCTAATACAATTTAACGATTACGCAAAACTTAACCATGAAACAATTTTATAATGATATTTATTTTGTATCATTGTACTATTTCAATATCTAATGCAAATGTTATTGTTTTTCAGCCGTCTGATGGATTTGGTGACGACCAGTGGTCATCGTATTCGCGATCTGTTGCCCGTCTTCGACTCTGCAGGATTTACGAAAATTCCGCCACCAGCCAGCAAAGTGGTTAAGCCGCACTAGTCGATGACGACGATTTTCTAGTCTAGTCGACTATACGGTTTAAATATACGCGCTTGAGAATATTCATACAAAAAATATTTTTATATATATTATACTCTCGTATATGATTTTTATTTTCATTTCAATTTTAACAAACATAAAAATTCCAACTTCGCATCAATTTACTGCAAAACCATTAGGTACAATATTAAACCGCATTTTCTAATAACACGCAACGTTTAGTATATCATAATGCATAATATTATTATCGTAGTATAACGTTAGACGATTATATTATAAACATTCTTATTTTTATTTTTTTTTTCGTGTACTATTATTACTATCATATTTTAATCCAATAAAAGGTTCATTCGAAACGACATAGCGTTTTATTTTATATAAATTATATACAAGCACCTACTGCATGTACACGTAGAAACCTCCTACATTATCATAATATATTTCTGTATATTACAGTCGTTCCGCGGTCCCGCGCCAAGAACTCCGGCAAAGTTTTCTGCAAATTCGTAAAGTTTTCGTGCGGAACAGCCGCCACCGTGGGTATAAATACGGGTCGTCTCGCGTTAATCGTCAATTCAAGACGTAATACTTTATTTATAAAATACATTATTACGAGTGCGTGTGCATGTCTCGAGACAAATCTGCCGCCACTGCTGTCAGAGGTGGTGCAGATGTAGTCATGTGCCAATTGTTCATTTTGCATTTAGTTTTACGTCGCTTCCTCTCGCGGCACTCTCTCTCATTCTCTCTCTCTCTCTCTTTATTCGCTCTAAGACTACTCACCGCTCCCGAACTGGCTCATACCATACTCATTCCCCTAGCTGAATATTATATTTCCACCATTTAACCGCGAAATCACACTTAAGTATTAGTTAAGAGTATGCGCTCCTTCGCGCTACGACATAATAATACGTGAATCAGCACTGTATAATATTATATTATGCTGTCGATATATAATATATATTTTAAAAGCACAAACAAAATAATATGTAAAATATTATGATGCTAAGTGGTTGGTTGTCACGAAAGCGGGGTTGATGAGTTACACTCGTGTCCGTGCTGCAGGGTGATTCACGGGAACACACTACAGTTTTATCAATTTTGTAGTTTTGTATACAGTATAACATGTTATGTATAAAACGTATTTCGTAAACAATTAAATAAGAAATAAGAAAATATATATATATATTTTTTTTTTTTTAATGATACTTATAAACATGAGATTTTATAGGTTATTTCAAAACTTTTTTTTTTAAGCAGACATATCATTTTTTAATTCTTTACTCTGAAAATGTAGTTTAGTAAAATTTTATAATTACAATTATTTTGGCAAAAATGACAAGCGGGTACCATTTATAAACGTTTTGATAATTAGAAACGTACTAAAAATGCACAATAAATGTAATCTCCACCACAGAATATTATATACTCGTACAGTTTTATCTCTAAAATCCCATTATGTTCATTATTCTATTTGAATCAAATGTAACTAGAATTCCGATAGTATTGCTTATCATTTCGTTGTGGAAGAAATGATATTCGACAATAATAATTTGGTTGATAATTGTGTCATGATATTGACCAGCGTAGTGAAATCGCAATATCATTACATTCATGGGTTTACAAAGCTATTTTATTTTATTTATTTATTTATTTTTGTGAATTATGCACAATAAACAACATTTAATAAATTTATAAATAAAGTAAATTTGTTATATCTATCAAAAGTTATTTTAGTTGAACCAATTATCAGCCATCAGAAACTTCAATAAAGTACGAGTAAGTATTAAATGTTTTTAATATTTTAATGGTTTATGTACTATAGGTTTTAACTTATAAACATTATTATTACTTTCAGAACTAACAGACATTTTGTATTATAAAATTAATAGTTTAATTCTTACAATTAATTATTTGGCAGATAATTAATGACTGAATACACTTTTGAGAATTAAATTTATTTTCAGAAAATTGATTAGTTTTATTTTATTTTATAGAAGATAAATTATTATGACCCGAGAAAATTACTTAATTTAAAGCTTATAGACAAATATTTAAATTTAAAAATCATCAAGAAGATTCCACATATTTTTTTAAAAAAAATTTTTTGTGAACCAATAGGTCTATAGTTCAAATATTAAATTTTTATTTAAAAAAAAAAAATTAATACTGTAACATAAGAACGTATTTTTATGGATTTTTTTAATACATATTTTGTACTATTACACCAATTTTAATTATTTATGTGATTTCAATGGTCTCAAATGTATCCCAAATTATATTTCAATTTATATTATTATTAATTGATAATTATTAATACCTAGTAAAACAACACAAAAAGTTAAAATCATTTTTTATACATCATACATCACAAAAAATAAAACATTAGGTACATACAACTCAGTTAAAAAATTAAAATTGGATTTTACCTAAACCGTTTCAGTGATTACATTTATTAACTAATGATCACATTAAGTGGAAGTCACCAGTCACCACGCACACTCTTTACTTAAATATTATACGACTTAGGCATAAACGTATTCAGTGCACGTTCAAATTTCCGGTAACGGCGTAGAGCGTTAAGATACATGTATCCATATATATTAGGTACTCAATCATATTCTCATATGGTACATTACTATACTAAACATTATACTTATACTACAAAATTTAGTAAATTTTAATATAACATCTACGACTACTTAAAGAAAATATTACCTGAAAAATGTCTGAGTATTTAAAGCAGTAATTTTATATTTACTGTCTTTAAACATATTTTTTTGTTAAAACACATTATTAATTTGTCACATTAACCAAATTTAATATAACAGTGAATATTAGAAGCCAATTTATTTAGTTATAATATATTATATTATTATTATAATGACTTTTTTTTATGATAATTTGCTCGTTGTTAGCTTTAAAAAAACACCAACCTTCCTATCATTACTTTTTTTTTATATATATGTTAACATGTTTTACACATTTAATATAAAAATATGTACAGCTAATTATCTGTTACTATAAAATAGATAAAAGAAAATTATTATATTTATTATTTTAAAAATAAAATACAACAGTGCGTTATTAATAATAATAGTATAAAATATTATTTGTCACTGAACTTATGAAAGTTTGACCGTTGTCTGGTTGACATTGTAATAATTAGAAATAAAAAAAAAATCTGTAAAAGAACGGTAGCTGAGGGTTATAATTTATTATATTTTATGTCATGAAAGAATACTACAATTCATATTGTTCGTGTCTTTATATATACCAAGAAAACAGTGAACTCAATTTAAACAAAACATAAAAATACTATCTTTGAATCACGTTTCAGGTTTCTCAGTATAATATATTTTTTATCAATAAATTCATGAAATTTTTTTTGCTTATAATGAATTATTATTCATTATAACCTAATAGCATCAGGCACTTAATTTAAGTTATGGAGTTTTACAAAATAAAATAAAAAATCTGCTTCAATCAAAATATTTAATACGTATTTTATATTAATCTAAAATTGTGAATTAATAGATTGTATGAAAAGTATTATACTGCTAGTAATTGTAAATTATAGAATATTAAATGAAAAATAACTATTTTATTTCATTACAATTTTATACAATACAGTACAATTCGCATACAAAATGGTCGAGAACCATGGTTATAAAATTAAAATGTACGTATGTAATAACAGTGTATTATGTAGGTGAACCTCCAATTTCGGCACAATCTAATCGGTTAAAAAGCGTATAATTTTTCACTCGCAAAAATTAAAAAATTATCTTATGGTACGTTAAAATATATTGTGTTTACCTCAAACGCTTGACTTAATCATCGCCGTAATACATTCAGATAAACAGCAGCAGAGCTCTGTATGATGAAATCGCATTAGCGTCCTATTAAATATTAATGTCCAGTCCTTTCTACTCTAAATACTTCCTATCTAACTAATGTTCTCTGTTTTTTTTTCTATATTTTAATTTCCTGATAAAAACCACGGCCAGAAAAATCGACGACTTGAAGTAAAAGTGTGTAATTGAAAATTTCATCGGAAAAACATATCTAAATTTACATTTTATAAATCATTAAAACATTATTGATATTATTTTATCGCAGGTGATAACTGGCTCGCATATTATACGATTATAATATAAAACTTATAAAATACGATGATATTCCTTCTTAAAAATCTTAATATGGGACAATATTGGAGTCTACTTATATGCTCTTTTTAAAAATGTCTACACGTTTTGATCAATCAAGATGACTGAAAATAAATCATTTCAAACACTCAAATTTCAGTTATTTTGATGTAAAATTGATCTGCACATCATGACTGCTAAAAGCTCTCATTACAGTTTTATTGACATTCAAAATAAAATCACATACAACGATTAAGCAACTGTAAATATTTCTCACGGTTTTAATTCATCTAAATTACAATTTTTTCAGTTTTTAGGCCATTATTTTAACCGACACATATATTTATATAAGCTTAATTTTATTCAATAAAGTTAAACATGTTATTTTTTAGAGATAATAGCAGTAATCAAATATCATTCATCGCTACAAAAAAAAAAAAAAAAACTTTAAAACGTGCAGTTATTGTCTGAAGTTATTTATTACCAAGTTCAAAAAAAAAAAAAAAAATTGAAAGAAATAGGAGATCATTTTGTACAATGACTAAAAGCTAAAATATTGTTGTTTGTAATTAAAATATAATATATAGTGTACAATATGTCAATCTATAATATTAATAATATTATTCATAATAATATATTACAATGTTTTACGAAAAATGTTCAATAGTTAAATGATAACTTTAACTTAATATTACCTACTTATTTATTGAAAACAAAACAAAAAAAAGTTATTTAATAAAATGACTACGCGTTTTAAGATCAAATAAAAGGTATAGAGATTTTTTATCACTGCGGTACCTTTTAAAATAATTAGATTACTCTTTGATAAGAGATGTGAAAATATTTTACTGCTGATATGAAAATGTACACACATTTGGACAAAATTGTCCATAATTTTAAACCATATATATGGTTTTATATAAGTGTTAATCATAAATAATAATTTTTGTTTCTATTTAAAAATCAATTAAACTTTTCAGTTTTAGACGCCTACAAGACATTGTGATCAAAATGCCTAATTCGTTTAATGAATATTTTATGAACTTTAAGTTCTTATTATTTTTGTATGCAATGTGGAAGCATTAAATTCCAATAGGTATTTTTAGTCGTACTCAAGAATGAAATAATATTAAATTATTTAGATATGAGCAAAAAAATTAAACAAAATATTTTTATTTTTTGCTTCCGCTATTTTTGTTTCGTTATTTTGTCGTTTTTTCATGCTACCGTCACATACTACAGTCACGTCTGTGCGCGCGACCATATTCATATGGAAATTACGAACGGGAATCGTGATTTGATTAAAAGCCACCTTCCGCCATCGCTCTGACGCCGCTGGTGTTGCTGATGTGCTACAACTCACACATCCCTCGCGGTTACATCCCTACGCAGAGCACGTTCAGCGCGGTAGTTGGATATTTTCACCGTATGGGGCCGCATTAAATAATAATGTATTATAATATCAACCTGGAAACGATTTTTTTTATTTTTACATTATCATAATCGTTGTTCATCGACAGTGTTTTAAACAGAAAAAGCATCGACAGTGACCTGCTCTTACTCATTGCTTTAGTAATATAGTAATATGTGTACGCGAAATAACGAATAATAAATTCCGCATAATATTATGGGTAAATAATCATGAGTTCATAGTATAGTTACAAAAACGTCGATTAGCCAAATTATTGAATTTTTTAGGTGTTCAAAAAAATGGTGAATATTTAATGAATAATTAATCGTAGTTCGAGAGCAAAAAAAGTATTGCATGATTGTGTATTAGATGTGAATATTGTTCAACCTTTATTGTTCTGGTAATGCCCTGATAGCATTTTTTTTTTTTTTTTTTTTTTTTTTTCTCTTTGACCGAACATAAATAATAGGCATAAGGTACAAAATAATTATCATCCCTAATGAATAAGAAATATTTTACTTTTTTCAGTAGGGTTGGTGAAACCAACAAAATAAGGATTGGATAA